AGGGTGTTCTTTGAAAGTACTTTGTTGGAATCAAAATAATATTTACATCCACTAAATATTAAACAAAACCGGCTTATTCCGTTTTTGTTGTTTTAATCTGCCTTCCAAACAAGTTCTGAGTTTTATTCCTTTGATTACTGGTCCTGTTGGGAAACTTTAACTGATTGCTAACCCTTTATTTGATAGATATTCAAGTATTTGAGTTCTCTTGAGGTTGAAGATAATAAAGATGTAAAATCTGGATACACAATCACCCTCGTAAGTTTCCCTTCCTCTTTCCCCCTCTTCCCAAAATCCCTCTTCTTCCCTTCTTCTCTGTATTAGTATCTGCCAGTCACTTCAATGCCATGAAAAATTATGATTTTGGTGATGCCGTGAACTTATTCATTGAGGATTGAAGAATAATCAAATGTTAACTTTCTATCGACAAAAAATAACCAGTAACCATTTCATGTTCAGAATTTCAATCAGAACCCCTATTTTGAAGATTCAAAACTTTCAAAGACTTTTACCTTCCTTGAAGAAGGAACAACAAATATCACTGCTACCCCGATAAGATGGAAAGAGGGCAAGGTAAGACTATGAATTTCACTTTTTCTCCTCTATCAGCATTTATAAATTTGATTTTGCATATTCTATTTATATGACAGCCAATGTAAAACTTTGGCGAATCTACATGACATGGATCAGTTTAAATTTACTAAATGTAGAGAGAACAACAAACTCGAATTGAATGAGATGCATTAAGGGCAGGGAGGGAAAACATCAGTCATAAAATAAGATACAGGATATTGGTCATAGATTCCGAGTAGGGTAAATAAAGTAAAAGATGTTTTGGTTGTGATCTGCAACAGAAAAATGTGGTATGAAACTGAACATTGGGTGGTTACACAAGACAATATAGGATTAGAAATACAATTATTAGGCATTTGTGAAAAAGACATGTAGAAAAACAAATGGGCAGGGGTTGATCAGATCATATGTTTGATAGTTTGGAAAGCTATTAACCAAAATTTTGAGTGTGATTTACACATAAATGTTCTATCGTTAACATCTAATAATGACAAGATTTTATGTTTTTAGATTGTATTTTACTGACACAATAACATACAGGGAATACCCAATGGTGTCGATCATGAGAAGAACGGGAACAAACGGGCTCCTGTTGATGTCAGGTTGGTGTCTTCAGTTTATCTTTCTCTTTTTGTACAGAAAATATTATAAACAGAGAAACCCATGTTCATGATGCATATTAGATTTTAATCAAAATGAACTTCTGGAATTTGCTCTCTCCCTAAATTTGTCTATAATAAGAACCTTGTGAGTTATATCCCTGCTGTTCAATAGCACATCAAGAAAGGGCCCCTGATTAGTGATGCGTGCTTTGGTTGCTAAACCAAATTCCCCTATATATTTATTTTAAAAAAATTCATTAGAGTTTTTTCCATTATGACCAAGCCAAAGGTAAGGCAATATTGAGGGAAAAGGAGTCCATAACCCAATACAGAGGATGCCTAAATCTACTTATTAAAAGGATTATGTTAATTCCACACCGGATCATTTAGGATGCCTTGTTCGTTCCGGATCTTAACCTGGACAATTTCTCCTTACTATTCTTCCATATATACCAATGACTAAAATTCACACCTATCCTCTTTATTCACTTCCCACCACATTATCCATGTCGTCCGTCTTCCACTAAACAGGTCAACTTCTGAGTGTCCTAATCTAGTTACACGCAGGACTAACAAGTGCATTTTATGTAACTTGAGTTTGTGTTGGAAGAATACTATTACCACTTTCCACTGTATTATCTCTTCCCAAGCAAGCTCCAATGAATTCATTTCTCTATAGTAATCACCCCTTCAAGATCTCAGTTGTAAGTGTTATCAAGACCGGATTGCAGAAAATGGCGAAATACCAACAATCCGCTATGAGAAATAGGGCCAAACAGTTGAAATAAATCAATTTCATATTGATAAAAATATGCTGCATACAGATAAAAACCTGCATAAACATAGATTAAAAATGCGACATAATAGCTCAATTGTTCAAAACAATTAATAATTCAATGTTCTACTTGCTGGAAAGTGGAAACAATAAAAAGAGATTTAACAGAAAAAAACATATATTTTCATTGTGCTTCGCTTCCCCAATCTAGTCAATATTCTCATTGTCAGATATTGAGGCACATCCTTCAACTTCTATGGATTCTTCAGACATCTAATTCTTCTTATGGTTCTTCCAAGACTAGATCATCTTACACTAAAACCACTTTGTCTTTCCCTTCCATAATATAATAATTATTCTCATTATCAGATAGTGAGGTTTATCCTTCAACTTCTTCTACTGAATTCTTAGTTTTCCGATTGTTCTTCTGTTTTTTTTAAGACTGGATCATCTATACTTCAACAGCTTTCTCTTTTCCCTTTTTTGATGAATAACCCCTGCCAAACTCTACTTTGTCTAAGATACAATGCCAGCAACAACAGGGTCAGGGGCTTCCTTTTTCTTTTTAATTGACATATTAGGTTGTGGTTATCAGAGTCACCTCACCAACTCTTTAGTTGTTCTATTTTTAATTTTTAATTTTTTGAAAGTGTTCATGTGCACCTCACATGCTGCTTTTCAGTTTCATTGTTAAAAAAACCCTAAAACCATTTCCCCCATTTTTGCCATATGCACTATTGCTATCATAGCATAACAGTTTTCATAGTGCTTTGTTTTGTCCAAATCCCACTACGCAATAATGCTATAGCTCCACTATTTAACAATAAGTAATTTCATCTGCAAATTTTGGACTGGTAAGTGAAGCCTATAAAGAATAATTTCTGTCAATTATTTGATGGGTGGAATTAAAAAAAAAACACCCAGGAGAGACTGGGAGTAGTAGTATATCTTACTCTTAGTGGATGTTTGTACCAGGGGATGCTGGATGTTTAAGAGAGACCAGTACCAATTTTTACTAGGTTCCTTCAAGTAAAATCTGTGACCTTTCACGGTTGATTGAAAAGTCTATATGCCTTACTGTGCATCACAGTTTTCATTCAAACTTCCTTCATATTTGAGGATAGAAGCTTCTGCATTTATTCTTTAAATTTTAGGTTTTTGCGGATATATGTTGTTAAAGCTCCTTTTGGAAACATTTCATGGAACAAATGGTTAAAATCTTCAATTTCTTTTGCTAATGAATGCAGTTTCCTTAGTTGGTTTTGTGACTGTGAGCAGAAAGATGATGATCTGCTTGACATTCATGATGAGGTATATTTTTTTCTTGGTCTTCTCAAGTTGTTTCTAATATTCACATTAGTCCTAGTATAATATTCACTCTAAATTGCAGGTTGCAGAATTGATCAAGGATGATTTATGGTCAAATCCACTCATTTATTTCAACAATGTAAGTCAACTTTTAGTTTTTATATCTTTTTGATTTGATGGAATACCAAATACTTTCTCGGATTTCACATCATTTTTCATTTTACTTTTGCCATATTTTTCTTCCATTGTGTTTCTAACTGTAGTTGATTGATTGTAATGGAACAGGAGGAGCTTGATGAAGAGGATGGCAATGATGAAGCTGATGATGAGGTAATTGAAGTTCCATTTTTCTTGGAAAAAATAGAGGTGATTAACAAAAGTTTTTGGGTTATTGCTTTTAGTAATTTTGTGGAATCTGATAATCACTAGATCCACACTGAATTCATAATTTTCAATTGGAGAAGTTTGATGCAGTGATACTGATAGTGATACTGATACTGGATCAATGCCGACTTCATATTATTTAATTGCGCGTGCATGTGCTTCCAACAGCAATATTGTGAACAGAAGGGACTGAACTGAGCTTTAATTTTCATTCTCGATCTAGTCTATAGCATAAATGTTAATATAAAGAATATGGAACTATAAACACATGTTAAGATGTTTGATAACCTGAAAAAAAACTTAGTGCAAGTTATCTAACTGATTGCTATTAGTCCTAAGAAAACATTCTTAAAGGATCTAAGTAGTTCATATTCAATAATTTGCATTTTAAATTAATGACATAACAACTTTAGAAATATTTGATACAAATAATATTTCTTATTTGCAGGAGAAAGATGAGGATGACTCAGAAGATGACGACGATGAGGGTGACGATGAGGAAGACAATTAAAAATACATTATGTTGGTGTGACCTATCTATTTATTTTTTCTGGTTTGAGTATGTATTAGGCTTATGGGCGTGCAGACCATGATGGCCTTTCTTTCAGGGCATTAACTCATGTCTGCAAGTGAAGCTACACAGGCTGGTAGTTATTGGTTCTCTGACCATAATTTATTGATTACCCTGTCAAGTTATTTCTTCTAGTTTCATCCATCGTGCACTTTTAGTGATATACTTATATACTCATGGTATATTAGCTTTCTCTCATGGATTTTTGTTATAATCTTCATAGAAAAATTTACACATTTACTATATATGCTATCTCAGCTATTTTCCTCCTGCAAGATAACTATTGTCGGAAAGAATCTTTCTTCCGTTCAATCTTTACATGCATAACTTTATTGTTGCAACTGGAACATAAATGCACCATCAGTTGAATTTATATCGTGGAATCATAGACATTCATAGTAGCCTACTACTAATTTCTTATAACATTATTATGGATTCATGTTAAGTCTGGAACCATTGAACTATGGTTTGACTATTCATACTTGCTAAAAAATTACAACGAGTGTGTAGGGCTGTTTGAGAATTTAGGGTATTTGACTGCATTGATTAAGAGGGTGGCACATGTCAGTTTCACCGGAGTCTCATGGTGCGCGCTGATTGTGCTTACCAAAAACGTACAATGAGAGACAGTGCCTAGTTGTGTAGGATTTAATGAGTTTAGGGTATTTGTCTACATTGAAGGCTTGCTTACGTAAGGTTGTGAGAAACTCTAAATATGGTTTTCTCGAGAGAGATTAGATGTCCCTTTCTCGTAGAGGTTATATATAGGAGACTCTTTGGACTTGAATCAGAGGCCAAGAAGAGTGATTCCCCTTATTTCAGTTGAAGCATGTGAGTGGGAAGACTGAACTCCTTGCAATCTGGTAGTTATTTTCCCTCCCTTGATTGAGTCTTTGTGTGCCACGTATCCGTCAGTTGAATTAGCAGGGTACGTGACTGAATTGGGACTGCCCAAGCCCAATATGATGACTAGATTTGGGGTGTCCAGAATAAGTATTCGTGTAACACGCTGTTTGGTGCAAATGCCTTTAGACAATCTCCAGCGGTAGTTTGTTGGGACTGGTTCGCCAGCATGACATATTTTTTCTCCACAGTTTATCATACCAAGGCAGCTAGCATGGCGATTGGTGTAGTTTGAAGTAGCATTTCATTGCTGACAATCATAGTTAAATATATTAAATTTATTTGTTTTTATTTTTTTAAACTAATGTTTGTTCAATAATGTATTAATTTTACTATTTAATAATTATTTGTTTTTAAGTTATGATAACCTAAAACTTTTTACATTCAAACTTTTATACTTAAAATTTTTTTTATACTGAAATTTTTATATAAATAAATATTGTAAATTAAAAAAAAACTAATATTGAATAAAATATTAATATATGAGATAAAATTGTGGGATTTATTATGAGTTCTTTAAAATTGTACCATTAGAATAAAAATTGAATGAGTTGCTTAAAGATGGTTTTGTAGGTCTCATAAAAAACAAAAAATGAATAACACAATTGGAGATGCTCTTAGTTGTGTCCTTTGAACCATTCTTCCTACTGCCCACCAGTAATCTAAGAATTTGTAACTTTTTTATTTTGGTCGGTTCTTTAGGAGTATGTTTGCTAAAATTGCTATTGCAACAAATTAATACTAAAATTATTCTTGGGTCTCTTTAAGTTAGATTGATTAGAGTAAAAAACTTGATTCACTCACAAGATTTTAGACATCATCCTTAAGAAACGTCGACATAACTAAGGATCAGAACACGAAAGACCCACGTGTTTCATGCAGGGAAGATAAACATGGACCACAAAGTTGTGTACACACATCAATTCAAATGGTAGTGAATTGACCATGATATAGTATACTACTACCAGCTAAAAGCACGTAATACGTTAAACTTTAAGTCCACATCAATGCTCCCAACTTGGCCATAATTGTACTTCACCTTGTTTTTGCTAATTTTTGTTTCTAAAGTAGTATTCCATTACCATCTTTAATGTTAAAGAAAAATTTCCTAACTAATAAAAATATGATTTGTCTAACTTAATAGTATTTTTCTTGGTGGATGGGTCTAACTTGTTATATTAAGATAGGTATAGAAATTTATTGGTAAACTTGTCTGAGCTTTATTGACATTCAAAAATATCTCAACATAATGTGTATCTATTAGGTGACAATAGATAATAATGCGCAATTTCACATCAATTATTAAACTAAATCCATTATTAAACTAAAAATATCTGTCTTTTATTTAATGCCAAAATATTTGTCAGTTTTATCCATCAAAAGATCATTCAACTTTTGATTTTTCTAAATCATTTTTTGAATTGAAACATCACGGCAGTGCAACATTTTTTTTTATATGTAAGCTATGCTATTTATATATACTCTTTAAATTTAACTATTTGATTGGATACAAAAAAATAAAACTCGCAAATAAAATATGTTAACATCTTTTAAAAACATGATATCTACCTCTCTAACGTCATAGTCTATAAGATCCACGGTATCGGCCTAATGAGTCTCACTTTTATAGAAAAATAGCACGAAGACAACTTGCTACAAATACCATTATTTTGAAGTTACCGTGTCCTCTCCTATTTATTATCGTTTTAGTAATTAAGTTTCTTTTAAATTAGATTTAACGCATATTTTAAAATCGAGTGTGATTTATTAAATTATATTTACATATATAAATAGAACTCTTAGTTAAAAGTTCATGTAATATGGTTTAAGTCAATTAGGTGAATATTTGACTCAATAAACACATGAATGCATGGATTTTATTAAATACTAGTTTTAAATTCAATCAAACACATTTTTTTTTAAATAAATTCTTTTTTTGAAGTGAGGTTATACATGATTTGAATTAATAGATGAATGTGAAAAGTTTATTGTCAGCATGCTTCGAATTCTAAGTTTTTTTATTTGAATTTGGAGTAAGTTTGATTCAAATCACAATAAAGAGTTATTCGAATCAATAATTCATTTCAAATTCAAAATTTTAATTCGGTCAATTTAATTTGAATGACATGATTCTTTGACTTTGACTTGAATCACTCATTCGAATCAAATAGCTAAACATGTTTTAAAATTCTTAATTTAAATAATTTTTTTATTCGACTCGAATTATGTCCATCGCATTTGACTCAAATCAAAAGAGTCTTTTTACTAAATTTTAATGTTAATCTCAAAAAAAAAAAAAAAAACACATATATATATATATATATATATATATATATATATATATATGGTTTTTGTCATTTTTTTCACATGAAATGAAATGATATATATGATTTGAAATTTTTTCAAAACAAAGTTTAGCTTTCAAAGTACACATTTTCATAATCTTTGATGCATCTAAATTTATCTTTCACGTCTAACGAAATTATCATGATTTGTTTGTCAATTTTTAAGTTATATATCAAAATTCAAGTTTATGGTGTTGTTGGAATTGAAAATCCGGAAGCATAAAAAAGAAAGCGTTTCTTCTCCACTGAAGACTTTGATATGACTAAGTAAAAGTTGATGCGGAATGAAGTTGGGAGTTTATGTTTCTTTAGATAGGCTAAGAGTTCGGACAAAGGACCGATAAGATCAAGTGAAGATCATAGCAGACTAGATGTTTAGAGTGGATCTTGGATTTAAGTAAGAGAATATTCACGACTAAGTGAAGGTCTTGGGAATTTGAACGGTTGTTTTGTTTCTAATTTCAACACTGTTCCTTGAGTATATAAAACACACATTGTAAAATTTATCAAATTAGTGGAAGACAACAAATTTTCAACAGTTTCCCATTAGAGACTAGATTAGGCCCAAAGTGAGGACGAATGAGTTGAATTGGTATAAACTCTGATGCAATATTCTCTTTTCATATCTCTTTTTAATTTTTTCTGTATAATTTTCATTTTTAGGTTTTTACTGTCTTAGAAGTCACATGTTGTCAGACTCTATCCGCTTATAGCAATTTCTTGTATAGTGTAGGTCCGAGTCAGATTAAGCCAATTTGATTAATCTTCCTAGCGATTAAATTTGTGCATAAACTCTAATATTAGTGTTGAAAGTAATTCCTTGTGTCGAAGCAATTTGATCGACAGAGACAAGGAAATGTCGAAAAGATTTGATTTAGTGTGGAAACAGTTTGTTACACACAAATTTATTTTAGATTTAGATAGATTTGATTTTGATCTAAAATAAATAGATTTGATTTAGTTCCAAAATAAGTATTTTTTGGCTTTTATAGTTTTGGGCTTTGACTTAGAGAGCAAGCTAGCTTAAATCTATAAATAGAGGGAGTAACCCATATTTTTGTAATCAAGTCAATTAATTTGTATTCACAGAATTTGTAGTTGCAAGTGAATACTAAAGTTTTCCACAGTTTGTGGGCAGAGAGAAACTGCAGAAAAATACTTTCTTTCTTTCTTCATCTTTATTTTTCATTGTCATTGTTCATCGATAACAATCTTGTTTGTCAAGATTGAGAGAAGTTCATCATAGATTTTGGTAGATTTACAACATCTAGTATCAAGAACTTCGGTTGAGTGATTCAAGGGAAGAACAATCAAGAACGATCGAGGAAGAAGAAGAAGAAATTCACGATGGTGATGAATTACGTTAATAGACATTTTCCAACAAGTCTCCAAATTCTTAAAGGTGATAACTATGAGAATTGGTCTAAAAAGATGAAAGTTATATTCTGTTTTCAAGGTCTTTGGGATCTTGTGAAACATGGATTAGAACCTCTTGATGAAGACGCTTCAGAAGAAGAAGCAGAATACAGAGAATCCAAGAAGAAGAATTATAAAGCTCTCTTTATAATTCACTAATGTGTCATTCCATACAATTTCGAAACAGTTAGTGATGTAGAATCTGCAAAAGAAGCTTGAGAGATTCTGAAGAAATCATTTGAAGGCATTGAGAAGGTGAAAGATATGAGGTTACAAACTCATAAAAAAAGTATGAATTTCTTCAGATGGAAGATAGCGAAACAAATCTGATTTCTTCACTAGGGTTATTAAACTAGTGAATCAAATCAAGATTTGTGGAAAAACGTTAACAATAAGAGCAGTTTTTTTTTAAAGATCTTGAGATCTTTGGCTCCGAAGTTCGACCATGTGGTTGTTGTCATAGAAGAGTCGAAGGACATGTCATCTTTGTCGAAGGAAGAGCTTAAAGGGGATGCTTGAATCTCACGAAGAAAGAATGGCTGAAAGAGCTCCAGGAAAGTCGAAGAGTGATGTGGCTTTGCAGGCTCAATCAGTAAAAGATAAGAAAGACAAAAGAAAATGGTTTAACAACAAAGGTAGAGGTGGCTACAACAATTGGACTGGTAGAAGAAACCGACACGAAAAAACGTATCAAATTAGAGAAAACCATACCAAGCAAACCAAAGAGGTGGTGTTGCAAATAGAGGAAGAAGTGGTGGTGGAAAACTTGACAAGAGTCACATTTAGTGTTTCAATTATCAGAAGTATGGTCATTATTCTAGTGATTGTCCATAAAGGTGAAAGAATCAAGAAAGTGATGCAAAATTTGCAAAGTATGAAGAAGAAGAGATGTTGTTGATTGTCACAATAAAAGATGAAGATAGATTCAAGAACCAATGGTACTTGAATTTAAGATGCGCATCACACATGTCTGGAAGGAAAGATTAGTTTGTCAATCTATTACTCTCTCAATGAAGAACATAGTGAAATTTGCTAATGACAATACTATAACAGTTGAAGGTATTGGAGATGTTTTGTTTATGAGGAAAGATGGCAAAATGTCAGTAATTTCGAATGTGCTATATATTCCAGGCATGAAGAGCAACTTGCTCATCATATGGCAGTTGGTCAAAAAGAATTACAAAGTGACGTTCGAAGACAAGATGATGACAGTCGTCGACGCAAATGTTAGATTAATCTTGAAGACTCCTATGTCTCAGAATAGAACTTTCAAGACCAAACTTAATGTGATAGAGCACCAGTTCCTTTCGACTGTAGAAAGCAGAGAAGAATGGATATGGCATTATCGACTAAGCCATCTCAATATCAGAGGCATCAGAGATTTGAAGAGAAGAAATATGGTTTCATGATTTCTAGAAATTGACATTCCAAACGAGGT